TTCCCCTCCTGGGAGGGCAGAGAGGCTGGAGACCGAGCTCTCTCACCGGTGAACAGTGATTCAGTCAGTCGTGCCTGTGTAGCGAGGCCTGTGTAAAAACCCAGAGAGTTCCCACTTGGTGGACTCATGGAGGTCTGGGAGAGTGGTGCACTTGGAAGGAGAGGGCTTGGAAGCTCTGTGTCCTTTCCCACATCTTGCTCTCTGCATCTCTTCCATCTAACTGTCCCTGAATTATATCCTTTGATAATAAACTGGTAATCTAGTAAGTAAAATATTACTCTGAGTTGTGGGAGCTGCTCTAGCAAATTAATCAAACCCTAGGAGTGAGCGGTAGGAACCTCCAGTCTATAGCTGGTTGGTCAGAAGTACAGGTGACAACCTGGACTTGTGACCAGTGTCTAAAGCGGGGGGAGAGGGGGCAGTCTTGTGGGACTGAGCCCTTAACCTGTGGAATCTGGTGCCATCTCCAGGTAGACAGTGTCAGAATTGAGTTAAATTGTAGGATTCCCAGCTGATGTTAGAGAATTGCTTGGTGTGACATCCTTCCCCCACCCACACATCCTGCCCAACATTGAAATTGGTCTCATAATTTTAGGCATCTTATATCCTGCAACATATTTTGGTTCTTTGAGCTTCCCCTTGAGATACACAACCTTTCTAGGTTAAAATTAAGGTCAGGTAAATTTACCTCCCAACAACCCCACGGGACTGCATTAAATGAGTGGCCAATTTGTTTACTCCTCTGGAAATGCTGGAAGATGAGGTTGGTGGCCCCATTTTTTTAAGTGGAGCAATTAGAGCTTGGGAGACAAATCACTTTCAGGAAGTTCCCGTAACTGGGAGGTGGACGTGATGGGACCAAACATCAAGGGCTCTTTGCATTAGATCTTAGCTGCTTCCTGATCCTACCTCATAGAGCTTAAAGCGTCATCATTTCAAATTGCAGATGAGAAGAGTATAACACTAAAGATGGCAGTAATATCACATCGTCTTATGTGTTGTTTACTATTTAAGATGCTTTCATATCTTTTGTGTTTTAGGGTCTCCTCGTATGGAAATTGCAACCTCACGTGGCTACTACAAGGCTGTCCTTGATTTCAAGGTAGGAGAAGTTTTAGCATTTTAGGGACGTCTCCCAGAGAATGAATGCTATGAACACATAGTAGGTGTGCTCACAGGCCACCCCATTATTACCTGCACAATACTGAGGAGGAGGCTGGGTCTTTGGCTGCTCAAGACCCCACCAGGGGAAACACCAATTTACAAAGTGACCTAGAAATTCCACTCCTGGGTACCCAGAAAGAGAAATGATGGGAGAATGCTAGAAATATTCCAATACTGTACTAACTTTGGGAAAAGATATCTGCTGATCCCTTTAGCATTTGAGAGGAGAGCTGCAGGGAGCAGCTTACTCCTGGCCCTGCCTCATGCAGCTGTACACGATGACTGGGAAAGAACTCGGCCGTTAGTGTGCTCCAGATATCTTGATACCGTTGCCTGAGAAAGTGGGCGGTTGTTCAGTGGGCCATCCTAACATGGCACATCGATTCTGTGCCCCCCTTGAACTGCAGGGACTCGGATTGGGATGCTTGATGCTGGCGGGGTGGTCTGCATGTTTCCAAAATAATTAATTAGTCAGCTTTGGCTGCTCCTTGGGAAGGCTCTAACAGTGGGGTTGTCCCCCAGTCCCAGCCCTGGTCCCAACCTTCCCTGGATCCATAGCTCTAACACTAACCCTAGTCTTAGACTTGGATAAACCCCAATCTTAAATGTGATACAAACACAAAACATTAACATGATGGCTGGCATGTTTTCATCACTGCTATCATGATCTCACCTGTAACAACATCCAGTATTTCACCCCAACCCTAATGCTATTAATCCTACCTTTGCATTTAATTAAAAACTGCTTCCATTTGTTGAATGTCTAGAGTGTCCCATGTCAGAATATCTCCCCCATCTAACAATGAATCTATAGATTTATAGATCATCTATAAATCTCCAAAAATCAATGTTTCCATTAGCTTCTTGTCTAGCTTTTATTATCTAACTACTTGTAATCTAATGCAGGGTTTTTAGTATCACACTATTGACATTTGGAGCTGGATAGTTCTTGGGGGTCTGTTGTGTGCATTGTAGGGTGTACAGCAGAATCCTCAGCCTCTGTCCACTAGGTTTTGGTAGCATCCCCTGCCCAAGTTGTGGCAATCAAAAGTATCTCCACTCCCGGCCAGGCGTGGCTCAGCGGTTGAGCGTCGACCTAGGATCCAGGCGATCGGGGTTCGATTCCCGGTCAGGGCACATGCCCGGGTTGTGGGCTCGATCAATGACTCTCTCATCATTGATGTTTCTGTCTCTCTCTCCATCTCCTTTCCTCTCTCTGAAATCAATAAAGATATATTAAAAAAAAATCTCCAAACAATGCCAAATGTCCCCTTGGAGGAGGGGGAACAAAATCAGTCTAATCTATCATTTACTTATCTTTACTGTTACTCTCAAGAAGGCACAGGGTAAACAATATCATTTCCATCTTACAAATGAAGAAATTGAGGCTGAGAAATTAGGGGACTTACACAAGGTTATGAAAGTATTAAGTGATGGAACTGGGTTACAAAACTAGATTTGCCTTATTTAAAAAAATCCATATTCTTTCTACGAGACTAGGCTATTTCAAATTAAAGTAATGCTACCCATTTTATCCTTGATGCCATTACTTTCCTTTATTCTCACCTTAAAATTGATTCTGACTCTCAAGCCAAGACATGTCTTTTAGCCAAAACATATGTGAATGTATCTGTACCCCGAACCTCTGTTCTAATCCTGTCCTCAATGCAAGACGTAACCCGATTTCCAGCCCCATTTTTTAATCATCCAATTGCTTTCTAAATCCTGTTTCCTTCCTGTCACCCCAGAAGATGAGGGCGTTAACTGGGAGAGCCCTCCCCTGCTGGTTAACCCAGCCGGAGCCGTGGATGAGCTCATTTGTGACCGGGGGCCTGTTTATTGTTCCGTTCTAAAGAAAAGTGCCCCCGATTCCTCTGCTGATCACCGAGTCAGCATGCAGGTAGCCCCTGGTCTGCCAGAACCCCCTGAAATCGGGGTGTGTTGAAATTCCAATAATAGAAAGCTTCTCTTTGCGCTTTTCTGCGACAGGCTCCAGCTTCTGAATGTGGCTTCTGACAAACCGAGCAAAGGAAAAAAGGGGTTTTGAGACCGATCATTTGGCTTCTCGGAGCCTGACATTTCAGTTAGGCTTTTACACGGTAGTTTTGATTTCTGCCCCGATCCTCTGGTGCCCGTTTGATGGCTGGCAGCTTCGGGCCTCCACGTCCGGAATCCAAACTGGGAGAGGCATTGTTTTATAGCAATTAACAGTGACGCCTGGAAGAGATGGCAACAAGCTGGAAAAAAAATTAATTGAAAATTTAACCTTCAAATAAGAGTCCTCAGACCTCGGGCTTCCATTTGTAAGCAGCTTAGGCTGCCTGTGTGGTCTGTTGTATTATTTAAGTATTTTCCACACCGTTTCTGACTAATACAGCCGTGTTATTTTCCAGTCCAGTCTCCTTAATAAATATATGTGTCAAATATGTGTTTCCTGCCCTGAATGCAAACCCACTGAATTCCCCTTGCCTGCCTGTGCTAACGGGTTATGCAACGAGATGAACGGCTCTGTCTTTTTTCTCTTGCAGATTTTATAAGAAGAGCCAGTGGGCTCCCAGACAAAGTTAAAAAGGTACCTTCTTTAATTTTGCATATTGTTAGTTGCGATCCGGTTGCTAATGTTTGTTTTATTTCCATCTGTCAAAAGCGACGCCAGAATACGTTGTGTTTGCCTTGAGCTGGCTCAGTGAATCCTCCGCTGGAAACAGCTCTGTCATTTCATGTTTGGTTAAGGCCCTGATCAGTGGCTCCCGAACCAGGGGCGTGGGGGCTGGTCTCTGCCAGAGGCAGCCGGGGTGCCTTTAATGTAACTTTCTGGGAAATATGACACAGACACAGGAGAAAGGTGGGGTAGTGCCCTTACAGGAATGTCTGTTTGGAGCCAGCCCCGTGCCTGTCTTGGGTAGACATAAGAGTGTCCTGGGTTTGTTCCTGTCGACCTGTTTGTCCCCACAGAGCTGAAAGAACCAGCCAATGAGTCACACTGGGAGAGTGGCTTTGTAGGGTCTCAGAGTGGGGCAGACCCCCAAAAGTGCGGCTTCTGCATAAGCCTAGTGATGGTGTGTTGGTTTGCTAGGGCTGCCGTCCTAAGATCCCGCAGACGGGGAGTCTTAAAGAAGAGGAATTCATTTTCTCACGGTTCTGGGGGCTGGGAAGTCCAAGTCACGATGTCAGCAGGGCCGGTTTCTCCCGGGGCCCCCCTCCTCGGTGCATACACAGCCCTCCTCTCCCTGTGTCCTCACAGGGTCTTCCTCTGTGTCAGTGTCTTGTCTGAATCAAATTTCCTCTTTCTATAGGGACACCTGTTATTCTGGATGAGGGCCCACCCTAAAGACCTCATTTTAACTCAGTCAGTGACCTTTCTCAAGACCCTGTGTCGAAATACAGTCATGTTCTGAGGTCCCTGGTGTTAGGATTTCAATATATGAATTTTAGAGGGACACGTTTGGCCCATAGCAGATGGTAACTAGAAATAAAATGAAAGTATGTTGAGGCAAGAGGGGCCAAAAACTATATACGTTCTCTCTCTCCCCCTCTCCCTCCCTTCCTCCTCTCTCCTGCTTTATTTTTCTTGCTTCTTTCTTTCTGAATAAAAGCTCTCTCCACCACTTCTATTAAGGTAGCATATTTTACAGAATGCAGGCTTTTGAATCACTGCGCTCTGAGTTCAAATCCTGGCTTGACCTCTTATTAGCTGCACGACCAAGGGCAAGTTAAGTTCTTTGAGTCTTGGGGTCTTCATCCTTAAAATGGGGCTGACAACTACCCCAGCTGATCATGTTTGTAAGGATACAAATGTACTGGATGTAAAAGCCCGTGGCTTTCATTATGCTCTTCCCTGAGTGCAGGCAATTCGGGGGGTGGGGCGGGTTGTCAATAGAGACTTTCAAAGTAATAACACTACTGGCTTTTAAAACAGCGTCAGGGGCATTATACTGCTCATCAGGGCAGATGGCTCCCACTGCCAACCCATCTCCCCTGTATGGGACAGGAGAGCACCATCTCTCTCCCTCTCTCCTTGACACACACACACACTCTCTCTCTCTCTTTATCACACACACACACACACACACACACACACACACACACACACACCTGTATCTTGAATTCACAGGACAGCTTAACCAAAGGTATTTCACATGACTGCACATCTTATTTTGTATTCATTTTACTCAGAAATTGTCAGAGCTCACAGCTAAATTATATATGATAGAGGAGAGCCATCATTTATTGTTTTGAAAAGACAGGGCCTGCTGGCCCCTGGTCAGAGCTTTCCTCTTCTTTCCCAGATCTCCTCAAGTCCTGCAGTCAGCCCCCAGGACTAGGCCCTGCCTGAGGACATTTTGCTCGGAGTTAGAAATCAAAGCATACAACAACTGACCACAGGAGTCAAAACACATAACGGCTGCCCATGGGAGATGTGTGTGGCTGGGCCCATCGTCTTTGTTATTCCATGCTCCCTTCTGAAGTGGTGCCCGATGCCCTGGCATCTGCCCATCAAGTAGCTATTTCTGTTAGAGTTATACTGTATAGGTGGCTATTTTATATACACAGAAAAACAGGGCCTTGGTGAGTTGTGCCAAAAACAAAACAAAAGCAGCAATGAAAAATAACGCTGAATGGTACATTTCCTTTTTCAATGGGAGACATCCGTCTTCATACAATATCAAAAAGTTTAAACCCTTGGCATGAATCGTTAAACTTTTCCAGAGCATATTGCACAGTGGGATTTTACAAAGTAACTTCTTCGGCTGAAATCTTCAGCAGTGGGAGAAATAGGTGGTGTGGTGTAGATCGCATGGGGTATGATGCAGNGCAGTGGGAGAAATAGGTGGTGTGGTGTAGATCACATGGGGTATGATGCAGATGTGAAGATGATGGCTGTGATTAATAAATTAGAGATATTTAATCATATTATGTTAAGTGAACAGAAAGAAGCGAAATGTCGTGCTATAGAATATAGGTTAAATGTTTAACAACCAGAAAGAAAACACTTCTACTTATGTCAAATAATGCGTAGAACTTAGTACATTGGCACAGGGGTGCATTTGGGAAGAGCCCTTTCCTGTGAGGTGCATGGTAGGTCTTTCATCTGCTCTGTCCACATTGATATCAGAACCTTAAACTTGTATCCCATGAGTTTGGGCCTGATCTGGTTTTGTATAATTAACTGAACAGGTTGTATGGAACCTGAGGGTGAAGGGTGGGATCGAATTTGGGATTTAACAATGGCAATCAAGAGATGGGTGAGCATGGTTGAACTCCATCTGAAATGAAAACTTTATAGAAATATTTAGACAGTTGGCATACCCATAATTCATGTAACCTTTGACTATTACAAAGCAGAGCTTTAATAAAAAGTTCCAATTTCTTTTTAGAAGACATGGTAAAATGTCTAGCTTGTACTTGCTAGGCGAACTGTCTGTTTTTGCCCAGATGGTTCACTTTTGCCATCCAAATTCTCTCTTCCCACACTATTCTAGACACGTGTATTTGCCCCACTGTAACATTTCCATGGGTTGGGCCCATGATGATGAGTTGTAGAATCTTCTAGGTTTCTGTTACTAGAAATTGTTCGGTTCGTAGATGTGAATAACTAGATTAGTTACTCTAAAGTCCTGTTGGGGGGCTTTCTGTGTTCCTCCAACATGCCCCGCCACTGGCGGCCACTTCTCTGGTTTGCTTGGATTTCTGTCCCCTCAGAATTCCTCTTTGATTGCCCTGAGGTGTAGTGTGTGGAGGGGCTTTGGGGAGAGGGGCAAATATTTTTCGAAATGGAAATTTACACGCAGTAAAGGACTGTCTCAGCTGCAGGGCTACAGGTGGCATGCCTCTTCCTAAACACCACGGTTCAGCCCTCCCACGAGAGTTTGACTGGTGAGTCACTTCGCGCCCACAGCCCTGGAAGCACCACATGGAAAAAGAAGCCCAGAAGGAAATGTATCGAGATGTTCTTAGTGATTCCATTCCCGTCTTGGGATTATGGGAATATTTCCTTCCCTTCTTTCCCAAATGTCCTTTACTGACTTAGATAAGACAGCTTTAAAGAAACCCCACCATAATAATGATGCTGCTTTTCGATGTGCATACCAACCGAACCTCTTGACATCCTATGAGCTAATTCTCTCTTTTTTTTAAAAAAAATATATCTTTATTGATTTCAGAGAGAGGAAGGGACAGGGAGAGAGATAGAGATAGAAACATCAATGATGAGAGAGTCATTGATTGGCCGCCTTCTGCACACCCCCGGCTGGGGATTGAGCCTGCAACCCGGGCATGTGCCCTGACCGGGAATTGAACCCCGATCTCCTGGATCCTAGCTCGATGCTCAACTGCTGAGCCGCGCCCAGCCAGGCTAATTCTCTTAATATCAACATTTTTATCTTCACATGTGAGAAACTGAAATATTGAACTTTATAAAGAGGACTCACAAAAAACTCCTGTTAAAAAAATCACTATCATATTCTAGATGCTGGTAGAAATAACTTCCTAACTGAAAAATTTGAAAAACATATTTTTAAACCACTATATATAAAATAAACAGAAAGCTATTATGGAGGATATTGCCCATGATATTAAAACATGTGGGTCTGGTTCAGTCCATCCCAACCTTTAATCACTCACTTCTCATTCAACCTTCTATATGGGCTAGGTCATGGGATTCATGAGTGAGCTGAGTACACAGTCCCTGTCCTCAGAGAGCCTATGGTTTAGGTTAATGTCCTGTCTGAATAAGTGTAGTCTAGGATTAACAGATACTAAATTAAAAGTGAATGGAGAAAACAAAAAACCATTCAGTACATCTCAGAACTATATTTTGCATGCATGAAAGAAAGTAAGGTGAAAGTGTATTCTCTACTTCATCCAACACACACACACACACACACACACACACACACAGTCACACTGCCTCTACCTGGCTCAGAGAGCCAAGATTTATAGCAATTATAAAAGTAGTCATTTATTTAAAACATTTGTTCTTGAAAGAGGCCGTTGACTCTCCTACATCTTGCTTTGTCCCACCAATGTGTACTTACAGGAAATCCAAGCAAGCAATGAGGGTGGACAGGGCTCCCATATATCTTAGAGGCCATAACCTTTCCAGGGAAGGGGGTGTGTTGGGGCAGAGACAGGGTGGTCCCTGGCATCATGTGTACAACAAAGGCAATTCCTATGTTTGATGGAGCTAATGGCCTAAAGTGTCAGACAACCGAGGAGATGGATGAGGGGATGACCTCACCTTGGTCCCTCAGTACCTGGACTGAAGGAGACTTACTGTAGGCCAGCAATTCCATGTGCTATCCCTGAAAACTTATATATATACATATATATAGAGAGAGAGAGAGAAAGAGAAAGTCAGTGTGGGTGGGTGGGAAATACTGCACAACTAAGGAAAAATAACATCGCCCTGGGAGTGATTTGTTGATTAAGCTGGGTACAGAGTGTTTGCTGAAATACAGGGAGTTGGGACCCTAAATGCTATTTGGAAACCATTTTGAAAATAACAGCATCTCAGACTGACATGAAAAGACAGAGCTGAGGGAAACAGGAGCAGGTTGCAGGAAAGCTAAC